CTATTTTTTTCCCATTGCCTTCACCCACAGTCTTCTGTTAAGTTTCTCAAGATCCACATTTGAGTAAAAACACATGGTATCTTTCTCTGACTTATTTCACTTAGCATAATACCCCTTCAGTTCCATCCACATTGCTGCAAATGGCAAGATTTCATTCTTTTCTTGTATCCAGCTTTCTGGTTAAGTGATTCTTAATGCTTCCTTAAAACTTCCCCGTGCAGAAACTATACATGTATGCCATTTTGTTGGATTTGACTTAGTTGGGGCAGTTTGTACATCTGTGCGGGGTTGTGAAGCCTCATGAGTAGAAATGTTTATTTAATTGACTTGAATGATTTTATCTACTGTGACAGGTGCAGATGTATCATCTTGTAGGAAGAGAAGTATCATCATGCTTACCATTACACCCTTTGTTCTCCTCCTCAGAGAACCACTCTCTCAAGTTTTTTAAGGAGGGGAGCATGATGTATTTATTGTTCAGTGGGAAGAACTGTTAAAGTTGAGAGTAGAAAAAGAACTTCATAATTTTTCCCTCATTAGATTAGCATAAATTAAGATAATTTAGATGATTTGGAGGATGCACTTGCCTCAGCCACACTGCTGGTGGTTAAATGGTTATTTAACCATTTTGAAGAACAGTTGGGTCTTGTTAATTTGATTATGTGGGTTTTATATCCCCTCTACCTCTAGGTGGCTACCATAGAGAATTCATAGTGTATGAAGCAACAGATACCTGCATAATTATTCATAACTACAGAAACAACCCAAACGTACATTAACAGAAGGAAGGATAATTTGTTGTATATCCACACAATGGAAAACACTACTATGTGGCAATGAAAATGACTGAGCTACAACATGGCAACAATACAAATGAATCTTAGAGACATGATGTTGAGTGAAAAAAAATTGGAGGGTATATGCAAAATTATGTTTTGATAAAGCCAACAAAATTAAAATTAAAAACTAAACAATAAATATGAATACTAAATAATGTGTTGTTTAGGGATGCACTCACATGCATGATAAAACCAGAGGACGAAAGCAGAGGAAAGTGAATATACAATTCAGGGGAGGCAGTTGAGTGGTCGAGAGGAGTAGTCAGACAGATGTAATGGTGTTGGAGAGGTCTGTGCTGTCCAGTATGGTATCCAGGAGCCACAAGTGGCTATTTGTCAAAACTAGCTAAAATTAAAAATTGAGTTTCTCAGTCACACCAGCCACATTTTGTCAGCCCCATGTGGCTGGTGGCTACTCTATTAGACCTATCACACATAGATCTTTTCCATCATAGAAAGTTTTGTTAGATGTTACTATTTCTAAATCACATGTGAGTGAGTTGGGGCATGCTGTTCATTCTTCAAAATTAGTGTATATGTTTGTGTATGTGTGTATTTATATATATATGTACATATATACACATACACACATGTGTATATATCCTTTAATTTGTTTTAGATATTAAGTTTAGAAAGATTATCTGGTTCCCTAATTCCTATTTCCCACATCCCTCGTTGGGTTACCTTGGACAGGTAACTTAACCTAGATTTGCTCTGCTCACTCGTAGAACAGTAAGTTGGACTTGATCTGTAAGATACCTTCCTGTTAACAATTTTTTTTTAATGTTTTTGTTTTTAATTTTGGGAGAGAGAGCTAACAGGAAGAGCAGAGAGAAAGGGAGAAAGAGAATCGCAAGCAGGCTCCACACTGTCAATGCAGAGCCAGACGTGGGGCTCAAACCCGTGAAGCATGAGACCATGACCTGAGCTGAAATAGAGTTGGAGGCTTAACCAACTGAGCCACCCAGGTGCCTCCTGTTAACATTTTTTTAATGACATGATGCCATGAAGTATTCCTCAATGTGTCCTACATTTGAACATAGGTCATATAAGAATACTCTTACGTACTTTTCATAAATATAAGTGTACGAAATAAAAATACTGTAGTATAGTAGATAAAGCTAAAATTTTCGTAACTTCTCAATTTTTCAGTTACTGACTTTTATGACAGTATAATTATTTTAGCTTTCGAATCTCACAGGCCAATTTTCCTCTTTAGTGGCATGCCTCCACCCTTTAAGCACATGGGATTGTCTGAGGCACATTTCCTTAGAGAATGTTAGGCAGACTTCTCTTTGGTGTTAATAGGAACAATAATGGAATGTGTGTCTTAATATTATAATAAGAAGATATTCTGTTTCATATATACTGAAAATGATGTGAAGAAAAATTTTTAGGACAAACAAAATAGATCTGTCTTTTTAGGTGTCAAAAAGGCAAATCAGGGGCGACCGGGTGGCTCAGTCGGTTAAGTGTCCAACTTCAGTTCAGGTCACGAACCCCCGCTTTGTGAGTTCGAGCCCCGTGTCATGCGGGCTCTGTGCTGACAGCTCAGAGCCTGGAGCCTGCTTTAGATTCTGTGTCTCTCTCTCTGTTCCTCTTTCTCTCTCTCTCTCAAAAATATTAAAAAAAATTTTTTTTAAGGCAAATCACATATTTGACTATACTAGTGACATTTGGGTATTCAGTCCCTAAGGAAGAGTGTTTTTGCCCTCCTTTGACACACTTTTATAACAGTTTTGCAATTAAATCAATTATGATGTGTATGCCATTAATAATTACATTCTCATGGGACATTAAAGATCTAGAAAACAGCTTATAATTTTAAGTAGGAAACAAAACAAAATTGTTTTCATTCATAATGAATATATCAGCTGACAGCAGTGCAGCCTTCTGTACATTGGTGGGATGATTTCATTCACTTTTGTTGATGCTGAGTCAGGGACTCTGAATCTGGAACTCATTTCACCCTGCTGTAATTAATACTGATCACTTCCTAGTTTTTGGGTTTTTTTTAATTTTTTTTTAATGTTTATTTATTTTTGAGAGACAGAGGGAGACAGAGCACAAGTGGGGAAGGAGCGGAGAGAGAGGGAGACACAGAATCCAAAGCAGGCTCCAGGCTCTGAGCTGTCAGCACAGAGCCTGACACGGGGTTTGAGCCCACGAACCGCGAGATCATGACCTGAGCTGAAGTCAGCGGTTAACCTACGGAGCTACCCAGGCGCCCCTCACTTCTTAGTTTTGATGCCCAGTCCTGTGGATCATTCTCGTATAAATCTACCTCTTTGCTAACTCCCATCCAGCCTGTATTTATCAGAGGCATACCCAGTGCTAAGTGCTGTGGGGAGGTACAAAGATGAGTAAGAGGTGATTCCTGCCCTCAAGTTGTTAATAATGATGGGCTTTCTCTTCTGCCAAATTTCTTCCCATCTTAAAATGATCCTCCCCCTTCCCTCTCATTTTCTAGACTCTAACGCAAATTGTAGGCAGCTGTTGCTGGAGGCCTTTCTCTAACTTAGATATGCTTTATGTGGATTCATCACTTCCTGTCTGTACTTACTATTGTATACATTTTTGTTTAATATCTTACTTTTACATATGTTAATCATAAGGTCCTCATACATACCTGTTGCAGTTGGTAGGCAGTGGAGCTATATATCTTTTGCAAATGAAAAACTTAAGGCTCAGAGAGGCTCCCACTAATCTACTTTCTGCCTCATGGATTTGCCTGTTCTGGATATTCCATATACAAATCATATAATATGTGGCCTTTTGTGTCTGCTTTCTTTCACTTAGCATAACGTTTTCAAGGTTCATCCATGTTGTAGTATGTATCAATTCTTTTATTCTTTTTGTGGCTGAATATTCCATTTTATGGATATATTACATTTTATTTATCCATTCATCAGTTGATGGAGATTTAGCATGTTTTCACTTGTTGGCTATTATAAGTAACGCTTCTTTGAACAATAGTGCACGTGTTTTTGTGTGGACATATGTTTCCCCTTTTCTTGGTTCTATACCTTAGTGGAATTGCTGGTCGTACGGTAGCTCTATGCTTAAATCTTTTGAAGGACTGCCAAACTTTTCCAAAACGGCTGTACCACTTTCCCACTAGCAGTAGCTTATGTATACAGGGGTTCTGACTTCTTCACATCCTCTCCCATACTTACTGTTTTCTGTGTTTTTATTATAGCCTGTCTTTTAATTATAGTATGCATCCTCCAACTCTTCTGTTCTTTTACAGGATTGTTTTGGGCTGTGCTAGGTCTCTTGCATTCCCATCTGAATTTTAAAAATTTTATTTATTTAAATTCAAATTAGTTAGCATACAGTGTAGTATTGGTTTCCAGAGTAGAACCCAGTTATTCATCACTTACGACACCCAGTGCTCATCCCAACAAGTGCCCTCCTTAATGCCCATCACCCATTTAGCCCACCCCCTACCCACCACCCCTCCAGCAACCCTCAGTTTTGTTCTCTGTCTTTAAGAGTCTCTTATGGTTTGCCTCTCTCTCTGTTTTTATCTTATTTTTCCTTCCCTTCCCTTGTGTTCATCTCTTTTGTTTCTTAAATTCCACATATGAGTGAAATTATATGATACTGGTCTTTCTCTGACTTATTTTGCTTAGCATAATACACTCTAGTTCTGTCCACGTTGTTACAAATGGCAAGGTTTCATTTTTTCTGATCGCTGAATAGTATTCCATTGCATATATATACTACATCTTTATCCATTCATCAGTCAATGGACATTTGGCCTCTTTCATAATTTGGCTGTTGTTGATAGTGCTGCTATAATCATCGGGGTGCATGTGCTGCTTCGAATCAGCATTTTGGTATCCTTTGGATAAATACCTAGTAGTGCAATTGCTGGGTTGTAGGATAATTCTTTTTTTTTTTTAATTTTATTTTTTATTTTTTTAAATTTACATCCAAATTAGTTAGCATATAGTGCAACAATGATTTCAG